GGATAGTATGTAAAATGACCGATCACCGAAATATACTTAAGATTTCACGCTTGCACCTCATTCAGTAAATCACAGGTTAGGTCCTCCAAAATTGCTTGCGTCAACTGATGGGTTCTCGAGAAGTTAAAAAAAAATCCTCGATACTTCAGCGATGGGCAGCCTCTTCAGCTTAATCCATTGCACACGGGCACAAGCGCCGTTTGTGTGCGTCACATTGCAGCAAGGTCATAACCTGTATGCAACAACTAACTGCAAGCTCTCATTCTGCCCTTAAAATGATGCGTCATGCACCAGCACGTAATAAATGCCACGTAAGAGCTTTGAAATGATTCACATTTCCATCATACCACACTACCCATGTTTCATCGCACGACGGTCGTCGTACGGACGTCTGGGATCTGCGCACAAGCGGTGATGCAATGCCGTTTTCCCCAAAAATGTTTTCCATTCAAGAAACATGGTCCACATTTGGTGCTGTCACCCAAAACCGTGAGATGTTGCTAAATGTGGAAACAAGGTTTGTTAACAAGAACATAAAAAAAGTCATGTCTAGAAACTCTGTCCACGTTTCACGTAGCCTACTAACTGCAACTTTCAGATCTATATCGAATATTTGATTGGCGTCGTATGTTCAATTGGAATATTTGACACAGACATGCAATACGTAATGCAATCCAGTTTCCCGTTGGTATTAATGACCATTAATATTCATGATGAGGTGCGGTTTTTTACGAAACGTTTGTGTTTGTATTTTGTCTTGGCCTTGTTCGCGTTCTGTTCGTGCCTGCGCTCGTTCTCTGTCAGTGTCGGTATTGGCCGTCTGTCGGCGCCGGGATGCGTTCCCCGTGGGCGCCGGTGTTGGTCTCCTGCCAGCGCGGCCGGCGTCGCAGTTCCGCGGCCACGCCCCTCCCCACTCGCCGGCCCCAAGCACCAGACGTGGCGTGGGAGCGACGCTCCCCCCCCCCCCCCCGCTCCCGCCGCGCCCGTCGGCTGGCGCGTCGCACCAGACATGAGGGGCGCACGCGCGCTGATGCATCACCGCCGGTTACCCCTTACCGGAGCGCGTTTCCGCCTCAGCCGAGGCCGACGGTGTCGAGGGCCGGTCGGGGCGGTGCGGCCCGCATAGCCGCTCTGCTCCGCGGCTGCCCCTCCCCTCCCCCCCCCCGCCGCCGGGAGGTCGTCGGCCGGCGGGAGCGTGACGGCGCGGCGAGTCGGGACTGGTGCTGATCTGGCAAGGTCCGCTCTTGTAGTCAGTAGCCCGCTTTCATCACGAACTGCCAGGAAGTGCTGCAGCCTGACTCACATCGTGAACAGTCGTTAGGTGCTCTAGCCCCGTTTACATCGCAAACAACCCGCGAGTGCTGTAGCCCGGGTTACATGCCAACAGCCAACTGCTGCCAGGCGGCGCGGTCTGTGGCGTGGAGTCGCATTGCCACGAGCTTGTCGAGGACGAGTTTTACAAGTTGGTGTTCGTGACGTTGAAATATGCTGCATGTGGTTTTCGATTCCTTATTTACTGTGTTTTACCAGCGCTTTCTACAGCACCGAGTCGCGATAAAGGAGGCAAAAATGAAGCTCGCGTGTTCCATATTCGTCTGTCATGAATACTGGCCGCGCCTGCTCTGGATCAGTGGGCATGCGTCTTCGCGGTCCACGCCTCCCACCCGGCCAGCCGCCTGCTTGTCGTGCGCCTCTGCTGAGAATGCAGCCGCTAGTCTGGGAGTGGTCAGGACCGTATCCGACATGGCGCCTGCAGAATAGGCAGACTGCCTTGGTGAACTTTTAGGAGGAAAAAATGTGCATTCGTGAATGCTGGTAATGCATCACACCCTCAAGTATTTGTTCAGACGTGGTTGTGATTACGAAAGGCGGTAATTCTTGGACGCGAATCTGAAGTAATGCCAAAGACCTCGCCGGCTCACCATGCCAGCAGCGGACGTCAGGCCCTGAACCCCAAGCCAAGGCTGCAGCCTCCGTGCCTCGTAGGCAGGTCTTGTCCGACGGGTGGCGTCCCGTTCAGGCCGACATCCGGATCGGACGCGCCGCCGTGCCTCCTGGTCTGGCCGTGGGCAGGGGCGCCGCACGGGCTCAGTATGCGGGCTCGGCGTCTCTCGTGAAGGATCACCTCCGTCCCATGGTGTCGGAGTCATTTGCATGCCGCTTATAAACTAGCTGCATGAATTATGAGCTTTGGTCGAGTCGTGCGCCTTGTGGCGACCCTGAAAATACGCGTCCTCTGTCGCCGCGAAGGCTCTCCTCACTGAACGGGGTGCGACGTAGCGGTTGCGATGAAGGTCTGCATGGTCTGCATCTGCGTCTGCACCTGAAGGCACCAGGTAGCCCACTTTTCCGAACCATCTTATCCATCTGAAAACGACGACAGGAGGCCATTGTCCTGGCGAGATATTATATGTCGTGGTCGTTTTAACGTTATCACTGCGCACCGACAATCCTGAGGGGTGTGCGTGCACGCTCTAAGCCCATCACTTTACGCTGTTGTTCGCCTGCCTTGCACCTCCGGGTTCTGGTCGCCCAGGTCAGAGCCTTGTTGGCACCCCACGGGCGCTTGGCATGGCCGCAGTAGGCTGTATTGGGAGCCTCCCTGTCTGTATGCGCTTTGCCCGCGGCGCGGGATGGGTCTTTTGGCGTAGGCACTAGCTGCCGAGGTGTTCGGTTTTTAGCACGACCATTTCCGGACAGGATGAGAGGGATAAATCTCGTCGGTTATGCCGAACGATAATTTTTAGTTCACCCAGCGTCACCCGAATATCGTGAGGCGGCAAATAATCGGCAAATAATCGGCAAATAATCGTGCCAAGACGTAGTACGGTCCAACAGACGGAGGATGCTGCGAGCGCTTGGGAGTGTTCACATTGGTATGGCTTTTGAGCGGAAATGGGCATCTTGAAAATGGTTCGCTTCATTTTACATCCCCTTTCTTAGAACCTAACCCCGTCCAGTTTCTGAGCTACACGTTCGTGAAGGTGTGCAGACTTTTTCGGGAGACTATTTCAAGGTCACCCAGGGAGCCATGACGCCATAACGCCATTCAAATCCTGCAGTTTCCTTAAGCCATGCGGCGACCAGGCCGAGCAAAACATAATTGTTGAGTTGTTCTTATGTGGCATTCGTAAGCACGATTTCCAGCTATGGCGGCCGTCAATCGGCTCTGAATCAAAGTTGCGCAAGGTGTGATGGCGTAATCAAACAATAACGATGAGCATATTTACTAAACGGATTAATTGTGTTGACTGGAGCGGCCTTTTCAGCTTAAAAGTATATCAGTAGTTATAAGTGAGCTAATTTCATCTTGCCTGTTGCTGACTTCAGTGCCTTCAAATGCGGAACATTTCCTTTAAGCAATTTTATGGTTTTTTTTTAAGGGATCTCGTACTTCACGCCAGCAACATTTGTCTCCTACCACCTGCCGAGGCATGCATAAATCCCCCTTCTTCACATCTGCTATAGCACCAGGATAATCCCATGACACGGGAAAGCGGACAAATCGTATTACACTGGCAGCTCCATTTGGTCCAGCGCCCAGATACCATACGTCAAAGTGGCTGTATTGGTATCTCCATTCTTTCATTTAATTCCTGGCAGCCACAAGCCGAAAACGAATTAAACAGAAACTCCAATGTGCGTATGGATCACATGATCGGGTATTCATCACGTGCAGTCCTTAATGACTCGTTAGCGCATCCGCACGTGGCAGATGCAGGTATGGGGCTCCGACCAGTGCTGGGCTGAACAGGCGAGTGATGACGTCACGGCATGCCACACACCTGCGCCCAGACACCAGTGACGTCACGGCAGCCATACACCTGCGCCCAGACACCAGTGACGTCACGGCATGCCATACACCTGCGCGCAGACACCAGTGACGTCACGGCACGCCATACACCTGCGCCCAGACACCAGTGACGTCACGGCATGCCATACACCTGCGCGCAGACACCAGTGACGTCACGGCATGCCATACATCTGCGCCCAGACACCAGTGACTGAAAAACCCCTGGACAGCGGACCGCTTCAGTCAACAGACGCCGATGTTTGGTTGTCGGCTCACTAGTTTTGAGCTGAATGTGACGAGACGTAGCTAAAATTATGTCTTTCTTGCGAGGTGCCGAATGCCTGAAGCTGTGGGCTACCGACTCCGGCCTGCTCGCGGTTCCGCGGCATTAGTACTACAACAAAAACCGAACAAAGTGTTACGCGACAAAACTTGTATTGCAAAAACCTATACTGGTCATTACTTTTACTGCAAATACTTACACAGCCACTACTTACACACGACGTTACTTCTACTCTGCAAAAACTTATGCGCGACATTGGTGCTTCATGATAAAATTTATGCTTCAAAAAATTAAACTCGTCATTACTTCTACTGCAAAAAAATAATCATTGCTTGTGCACGATTTTACTCCTACGGCAAGTACTTAAACGCGACATTAGTGCTACTCGACAAAACTAAGTGTTTGCGGTAGAAGTGTTTGCTATAGAAGTGTTTGTAGAAGTGTAAGTGTTTGCTGTGGTAATGACTATTTTGTAGCGTAAGTTTTATCGTGTTGCTCGCACATTTTGTATTAATTTTTTGCAGTAGAAATAATGTCGCATATAAGCGAACACTACTTATTACGTAAAGATTTGTGATGATGAATATAAACTTAAGTTTTGTCGTGTATCACTCCTGTCGTGTATAAGCCTTTGAGGTAGAGGTAATGTCGCGTATAAGCTCAGTCTGTATAAGCTTTTGCAGTATGAGTGATGCCGCGTATGACTGATGTCTTAGTACTCCTGTGGGCAGGAGCTTTTGCTACCGACACCGTAGCATCGGTGTCGTGACAGCCTCGCGGGGCGTCCGTCGGTGTTGCCCGTCTTTCCTGGTGGCCGGCCGGCCGGAGGTTCGGCCGGCGCGGGCTGCAGGGGCCGCCGGGGGCCGCGGCCGCCGGCGGCCTTATAAGGGAGGCCGGGGCCGAGCTGGGCCTCAGTCGCGTCGCAGTCGACCCACTGCCTCCCCGCCGTCCGCACCTCACTCCCCGCCAGCCATGTCGGACCCGGCTGAGGTGAGCCCGCGCCCGGAGCGTGGCGGCGTCCGGCACCGGTCGCCGGTCGCCGGTCGCCGGTCGCCAGTCGCCAGTCGCCAGTCGCCGGTCGCCTCGCCGGTCGCCGGTTACGAGGCATCGGTCACGGCACCGGGCGGCTATCCAACCCACCGAGCTATGTCCGACTTGCTGTCAGTTCCTACACCAGAAAACTTGCTTTATCTCACTGACTTGTTCTTTATTTTATCCGCTGTCTGAAATTTAAAGTGATTTTTACATTTACCTCAACGGTCCCTTTCTTTCCGAAAGGACGGGTGGTCTCTCACGGCATGTTTGTCCATCGTCTGACCTTCTTACGCTTGTGTCACATTCTCTTCTGAAGTCATGAGCGCATGCGTGTTTGGCACGTTTGTCCATCATATTTGGCTTCTTACGGCGTGTTTGTCCATCTTCTGAGCCTCTTACATGTGTATGACATTCTCATCTGAAGTGATGACTGCTATCATGTCATTTTCGATCTCACATACGACTTGCGTGCCGTGTGCGTGTTATTGCTTTTGGACCGCACTCTTTGGACCGCACTTTGGACGGCACTCGATATTTCGATGGCCGGTCTGTTGCTTCGCACTGCTGTCATCTGCATGATTTCGAGATTGCTCACGCAGACTGTGCGGCATAAGCGTGGTGTCTCTTCCGCACACACTTCATGAGACCAGCCGGAGGTGTCATCCGTGCGGGCGTGCGAAGCGCTCTCACCACCTTCGGTTCACCAGCGCGGTCCGTGCTGGTCCCGGGTTTTGTCGGGGCTGCTTCACAGCCGCTCTGCCTCATCTGGCCGGACTCGACCCGTGATGAACCCTCGAAGGGGTGTGGCCAGCCGGCCGACCTCCTATTTCCGGTCTCCGGTCGACCACGTGACGTGACTCAGCTGTGACGTACCGGTTCCCGTCGATCGGCGTCTAATTCTGGCTCTGGCGGCTGGCGTCGGGCGTCGGCCGTCTTCGCGCCGCCGCCGCCGCCCGAGCCGGCCATGGACTGCTGGCGCTGGTTGCTGGCGCGCCTGGGCCGCCGCGCCCCGGTGGGTCTCGCCAGCGCCCTGGGGGCTGTGCTGTGCTGTGGTGGTGACGGCCGTTCTGGGACACTCGGCGGTCCCGGCTCCCGGGCGGCGCGTCCGTGCGTGCCGGCAGACCGCGTCGGGGCCGGCCTGTCCTCGGCCCCTGGCAGACGTGTGTGTGTGGGCGTGAGGCCGGACCGGCCAGAGGTGAGGCCGGCCGACAGCTGACAGGCGCCGTCTGTCCGGCAGGCCAAGGTGGAGACGGAAGCCGCCACGGAGGAGAAGCCAGCCGAGGAGGCGCCCGCCGCCCCCCAGGAGGCCAAGGTGCGTGCCCCGCCCGCTCCCCCCTCCCCCCAACCCCGCCCGCTGAATCTGCGGGCCGTGCATGCGCGCCTGGTGACCCATGCGATCATGATTATCTCGTTAACGATTCGGATTGCGTCGTTGTGCCGCGTGTGGCGCTGATGACCGGCTGGTGCGGCGGGCGCGGGTGTCGTCACGTGCTGCGCAGCAGGTGGGGGAGTTTCCGTCGCCTGACGCGCCACTTGCTTTGTGGCAGGCTGAGGAGCCGGCGGCGCCAGCGGAGGCGCCGAAGGAGGGAGGCGATGCCGCCCCGGCGGCCGAGGTAAACTAGCACCCTGCACGGCAGTCTGATTGTCTTTCATGGCGCCGGAGCGGCGGCCAGCCCTCTTCTCTCGCCCCTCAACGCCATGCCTCGGGCCTCCCACGCCCCTGGTGCAGCGCCAGTCAGCTTGAGGTTCGCGCGACTGCGGTTAGATGGCAGGGCCGAGGCGGATGAACGACGCCAGCGCGCAGGGGGCGCGCCGCCGGAAGCGACTCGCCACCGGCTGGGATATGACCTAGTGTGCACAGTCAGCATATGACCTAGCGTGCACGGCCAGCATGCCGTTTCGTCCTGTAGTTCACGCGGCAAATACGGCCGTGCATTTGTTATTTTGTTCGAGCCAGTGTGCATATTCTTGTTGTAGACTTGCCGATTTTTATGCAGGGTACGCTTCTCCTTACACTTACCATAAATAAATGGTGCATAACAGTTCGTCTTTGATGGTGTGAAAAGCAGAAGCGGAAACACTTCCATTAGCTCGAGTGTTTACTTCACTAGTTCACACATCCACACTCTTTTCACACTCTTCACACACTCTCTTTTCTTTCTATGAAGCCCTTTAAGCCTTAACAGAGAATTGTCCGTTCGTTTTCGTTTGTCCAATCAGTTGGTCTATTTGACCAGTTTTGCGGTGGTGTCGAGCTAACCACCGCCAACTCTCTGTTCCAATTGCTTTGGCTGCCTGCCGACCGATCTGGCGCGCCCGTGCCGCTGGTGACGCTTTTTTGTCGCCGACGCTGGGCCAAAACAGCGGGCGGAGGAATTCGGGCTGGGTCCCAGCTGCGCTCCACTGGGCGGCCGCGCTTAATGGGGCCGCTCCCTGTCGTCATCGTCTGCATTCGGCCCGTCTGTGGACTATTGCGGTGAACGAGCGGGACGGACGCTTGCTGGCTGCGTCCCAGAGGTCCGGCGGGCACCCCGGCCACAGAGCGGCGTCCTCGACCCACGTGGTGTCTGGACGCCGTATGTGCGGGGAACCGCCGCACAGGCAGGGAACGGCCGTGGCGCCGCACACAGACACGTCCGGCATGCTGACGGGCACAATGCCACGTTGTGGCAGCACGAAATCTCACGCAGTTTGAGGATCTGGTCGACCACCGGTCGGGCCGCGTCCGCTGGACGGTCCGTCTGTCAGGGCCGCCTGTCAGGGCCATCTGTCACGGCCGTCTGTCAGGATCATCTGTCAGGGCCGTTTGTCAGGATCATTTGTCAGGACCGTCTGTCAGGATCAACTTCAGGGTCATCTGCTAGGGCGGTTCGTCAAATCACCTGTCAGGGCCGCCTGTCAGGACCATTTGTCAGGATCATCTGTCAGGCCTGTCTGTCAGGTCCGTCTGTCAGGACCTCTGTCGACCGCTGCCGGTGCGCCCGGCCGTCGGGGCAGCTGTTGACGGGCGTGGCGCGGTCCCAGACAGCCCGCCGCTGACGCGAGAGCGACGGCCGCGGAGGGCGGAGGGCGGGCCCAGCCGCGGGCTGCGCGCGGCCTCGGTATGGTCGTACTCCGCGAGCAGATAGCTTCGTTCCGTGCTGCACGATTGTCCGGTACCCTCGGACCGGATCAGGGTCAGGAGGGCTGACGAGGATCCAGGACTCCAACACTCGCAGGAGCTGCGTGAGCAAAAATATCCAAAATGGCCGCGTCGTTGATGCGTCCCTAAGCAACGAACACATGCAGAGGCAGATCCAACACGTCGCACACCGCTCTTCCGCACGAGGCAGTGACGCTTGCCCAGCCGCTCAGCTGGGGCACGGGCGTGCGCGACGCCTTCGTGGCGCGAGTGGCTAGCGCACCCCTGGGTTGATCCTCGCTCAGCCCGCGACCGGCCAGCGGGGGTCGAGGAGCGATGGGATCGGACCCGGCTCTGATCTGGACCCGGACCCGGCGTTGGTCCCACCATTCTCCTGTCTTTGCTATCAGCCGAAGGGCAAGCGCGCCTGTGTTCCTGGCCTCGTGCGGCGACTTTTATGCTCTGGGGCGGGGGGGGGGGGGTCATATTTTGTCGGCATCACATTGCTCTTGGCATTTGATATCGCTGGCCTTTATTGATGCGTGTGTCTCGTTTTGTATTGTCGACGAATGTGGATTGATTCGGTTGTGCCGCAAGTGATGATGTTTGAGCGATGCTGAAACATGGTATTGTGTCTGGCAGGATGCTTCTGCCGAGGTGAAGGCGGAAGAGCCGAAGGTCGAGAAGAAGGAGGAGGAGACGGCGCCGGCGGCGGAGAAGAAGGAGGAGACGCCGGCCGAGGAGAAAAGGAGGAGGTGGAAGGAGAAGAAGGAGCCGGCGACGGAGAAGGAGGCGCCTGCTGCCGAGGAGGAGAAGGCACCTGCCGTGGAGGAGAAGAAAGAGGAGGCGGCTCCCGTGACAGACGAGAAAGAGGCGGAAGCCCCCCGCGACAGATGAGAAGAAGGAGGAAGTCTCGACCGAAGAGAAGGCTCCAGAGGTGAGTGCCAAGTCCCACAGAAGGTGACCGTTCACGACATCAGCTGGACGCGAGAATCATATCGATACATGGCTCGGGTCGAACGGTCGCCGATTGCGGTACTGAGTTTATTCTTTTTAGAGGGAGGGGTAGGCACCGTCCAAACGGAGGCTTGTACCACCTTCGGCCCGCAAACGAAGTCTGATCTTGCGACTGCTTCAGCTAAAAATATGTTTGTCATATTCCAGCAACCAAAAAACGTGTTTTTTATTGACTTGCTGAATTCAGTCGTCTTTTCGGAAACACTCCACTGTGGCGCTAAACCGATGTCCACCAATACTTCAGTGCTTCGGCCTTGCTGGCTTCTACCCTCGGATCTGTTGTTGACGATGTGGGCGTGCGCGCCAGTGGTGCCCGTGATCAAGACGTCGCTCTGCTCCGCGCGCAGGCGCCGGCCTGACGCCGAGAAGCCGGCCGAGAAGCCGGCCGAGTCGGAGCCGGAGCCGTGAAGCCGGCCGAGAAGCCGGTCGAGGAGCCGCCCAGCACGGAGGAATAGTCGGCGTGCGCGCAGCCTAGCTCCTGTTTCACCGGACCAGCCGACGCGTCGCTGGCGTCGCCCCACACACCGGCCGACGGCCCGGCCGACGGGCGAGTTTTATGAATTTCACAAGTGGGCAAGCTCGCGCCGGGACGTGCGCGCGACAGTGCTGCGTGAGCGCCGGGTTGGAGCGCGCCCGAACGAGGCGCGCGCCGACGCCGTGCGGCGCTCCGACGCCGGTCCGGCCGCGGCTGCTGATTGTGACGCCTGGCCTGGGCCGTCCGGCCGTGCGGGCCGCTCCGTGGGTGGCCGACGGCAGCGGTGCCGCCCGCGGCTGCTGATGTGGCCCCGTGTGTGGGGGCCGCCCGGCCGCGCCGCCGCCCGACGCGGCCGCCGCGCCGGCGCGGGCGGCAGCGCCAGGTCAGCCGCTTGAGCGCGGCGGCGGCGGCGCGGCCGCCGCCCCGACCGACGCGGCCCGGCGCCGGCGCGGGGCATCGCTCGCTCCGCCGACAGGGCGCCGACCAAATTCGAATTGCACCCCGGCAGGGCGACAGTGGAAGCCAAGGCGTGCTGGACGCGCGCCGAGTCTCTGCTCGCGCGGGACTGGTGTCTGTGACCCGATCGTTCTGCGCGGCCGTGGTAGGCTTTCACCGATGCATTAAGGATTCTAGTGTTACGTTTGTGCGCTCGTGTTTAGTTTCAAACTTCCAGTGATGAGCAGGCGAAGAGCCAAGAATATCTCCCGGTTGTGTGTATTCGTACTATTGATAATAAAATTGATCTGATTTCTAGATTAGCAGCCTTAGTCAGAGTTGGACATGAATATCAGATGCACATCGTGCGAAAGCACCTTTTTTGTCTACGGAGCAGGTATGCTTGCAGGCTCGACAAGACATCAGTGCCTGCGGGTCCTGGCTCAGACCAATGATTCCATTTCCGGTTGTGAGTATAGTTCGGTCACTTGCCAACGGACGGGCCTGCTGCATTCGGTATATAACGGTCTCAATTCAAAACAAACCGGCTAGGACCCAAAAACGCGACAAGTTATTAGCCGTCTTCGCTGGCAAGAAGCATCGAAACTTGCCGGCATTCATCAGTGTGGTTTTGATAGTGCCCTGTGAACAGATAAACAGCGACAGAAAAACGAAAATAGAGACAACTTTTACTTGTCTGGTTCCACCACCAAATACCAGGCCGGTTCGCGGTGCCGTGAATGCTTCTCTGCTCCTCGGGCGTATACAGCTGCTTCTCTCAGAAGCGTTATCTTGTTTGCCCGCCCGCTGGCCACCGTCTAGTGTTACCCGCGGGCCAACGCCGCGCGGCTTACGGAGACTGCAACGCCGGACGTCGGGTTTTTTGTTGGAAGACTGACGAATGGGCATGGTCAAAACAAAAATGTAATTTTTTACTACTCAATTCTGAACCAAGGTTGAACATGCCTGGGCGACCATGGGCTGACCATTTCAATGCAACGTTTGACACCACTTCCATTTACAATCTACGTCCACTATCATCTGCGCTGAAAACTGTTCTACAATTTTTCCACTGCTCAGTTTTGAGCAAAGGTTGAACATTCCCAGACGAACCATTCCCATTTTGCCCATTTTATTGCAACGTTTCCATTTCAATGAGTGCCATCGGCTGAGGAAAAGTTGACGGAACTATTGCAAAATGAAAAGCTGCGGCGTTTTTTCCAAGTAATCAATTAGCACCAGGTTCCTGCAGTTAATTGTCTTCAAAATACGAACAGAATTGTATCTTTCGGTGCCTTCTGGTTTCTGTTTCAGTAAAAGAAGGTACATGGTAACCAAAAAAAAAGAAGAAAACCGTACTCCCTAAAACAAGGTGGGCGATATCTGGGGATTTTTTTGGGGGGGGACCTTTCATTAGGAGATGCCCTTTGCGAATCCTTCGTCCCACGCCCACCTTACCAATATTCTGGCCGCGCTGCCCCCCCCCCCCTCCCCCTCCACAGCTAACAATCTATCGGGGCCTCGAGTAAGCAGATCTGGCAGCAGCGCAGCCCGGCCTGTGCCCTGCCAGGATCCAGTCTCTTGTATAAAATGGATTCAGCTGCTGTACTGTCCAAGCAGAACAAAGCTTGTGCCCAACGGGGAATGTAGTGTGTTTTTCGTGAATGCCGTCGCAAAATGTGAGTGGGATTTTTATTGGATCGGGCCGGTTTCCCAGCAGGATTCCAATTCTCGCGCAGCATTCGCCAGCGGCTGCGCCACGCTTGCATTCGTGCGGGCAGTGGTGTGAATATTGTAGGTGTTGTCGTGGGCCGCTTATCTTTTTTGCGTCGTGCGCGGCTTTCCTGGTTTGTGTCGTGCTCAGCTGGGAAACGAAATAAAATGTGTTGGGCCGTACAAACATCCAAGTCGGCCGACTGCATGCTTGTTAAAACACCCGTTGACAACATGCGGCAAAACCAGCTGGGTTCCGAAACCGTATTTGGATCGTTAATGCAAAAACATTGGGTTTATGTCATCAGTTCCCCCAACAAGCTGTTGACTCAACTTTCAAATTACCTACATTACCCAATGGTGACGGAATTGAATTAAATTAAAATGCCACTTGCCTGCGGATCCCGGTCTTTGCGTGGTGGAGTGTAGTTAACCGAACTACCTCATTTTAACGATGTGGTCAGTGTGGGGTGTCGTATGTGATGCCAGCCCAGTGATCGAGCCCAGTTTTAAACTATTCAGCTGCGGATGGCGACAGTATTGCCAGTGCAAGAGCGTTCCAGTCATTTACGACGTAGGATCTGAATGTGCTCCGACGGACGAAGGTCCTGACTTAAGGGCTTACATTGTCATTTAAATCATCATTACATCATGCCATTTTCGTGTCGTATCTTGCAAGAACTCGCCCACCGGCAAAGACATGCCTCCGTGACACATCTGGAACATTGCAACAGGCAGCTTTATTGGCGTGGCCGCCCGATGCGTCTACTCCGCATGTCTTTGTTGAGTTCTTTGGGACAACTGCTATGGAATGGCACCACTCTGTGGTGCTATGTGCGGGGACGATGATAACCCTCGCCTCAAGATCGCCCCGCTGCCGGTTTACCTCGGCTCGTCATCCGAACGGGATCTTGCGAACAGCGCTCAGGTTCAATGATTTCGCATCTTCCCGCGATGTATTTTCGTTGACCCGCCTGCCATCTCGCGGACTGTGGATGCGTCAAACGCACGCGGGAACGCTGCCTTCATCTGCGCCAGATGATCTGCCCGCTGCTGTGGCGACGGGTCGCCCATGTCAGAGGACCATATCGGTTTACACGGTCTGTCACAATGACTGGTCATGGATGCCCCTGGTCGGTCGCATGGGCTGACGTGCGGGTTCTCCAGCGCAGCCCGCTGCGCGCTGATAACGTTAGACAGCGCCACCTACGAGTCCTGGAGCATAGGCGGCGTCACTTGCTCCCCAGTTTTAGCCGCGGGCAGCGCCACCTGCGGTCCGCTGCTGGTCGGATGGTGGCTGTGGCTGTGTCGGATGCGGCTGCCGTTTCGAGGATGGAGATGATCGTTGTTGTGCTGAGAGCAGGGTAGGCAGGGACATAGCCAGAACGTTCTCTGCCGGCTAGTGACCTGGGCTGACATTGAAGTCGGCGTCCGTTCCAACAACTTACACGTATGCAATCTGTTTTGGGAAGCACGCCAGAAGGATACGCAGTTCCATGGAGTGAAACCACGACGGGAGAGCCGCGCGTACACCTCCAATGACATAAATGTCAGTTGCAACTGCGTGCTGACCAATGCGAAGGACGGCACTGAACATTCAAGGACAGCGAAGTCGCTTGCCGTCTGCAGAAAATAGCCTTTCCTCTGCTGGAACCAGATTGCATAGGTCAATACCAATCGCACTTGTCTATTCAGAACCGATGGCTGTGGACTCAGCTCCGGTATCAGGGGACCATGACAGACGGGCACTGCCGTTGAGATGCTCGACGATGGCACGAATCTACGGCGTCTTACGGAACGTGGGGCTGATGCTGATACGTCAGACACCATGATACGGTACTGCACATGGTCACTCCGATAGCGTCTCACCGCTCCGCCGTACCGGCGCTCCGAGACGCCCCACTCTCACTCCTCCCGTCGGCTGCTGTAGAACTATTGTGGCCCGGTGACCGCTGACCTTTGACCTGATGGCCTCGCCACAGAAACTACACTTTCTCGTTGGCGGATTCCTAATCTTGTGGGCTGTAGAGACACGAGTGACTGACATGGCTCAGCCTTCCTGTTCGTCACGTCCACACTGAGCATTTTCACTGGTGCGGCAGGTGTTAACAGCCTTCTGTAACGTGGGTGATTCATCTGCCAAAAGTTCCTCCAGTACGCCTGCGTCTCGTACTCCGGTGACTATTTTATCGCGGATCTGGTTGTCTTGGAAATGGGCACGGAAATAACAAAATTCGTAAATCTCTTTGCCTGCGGTCAGAGAAAATCATTAAGCGATTCCCCTGACTCTTG